TGGAGAACAAATATTTGAGTTATACGTAATATGTATCAAAGTGGTGTTGTACTTTTAACAGAAAATTATTAATAATAGTCATCATCATCATTACCATCATGATAAGTCGAAAAAAAAATGTATTTATAATGACGCGAGCATGATAATAATCAGAACATCACGGTGGATTCTGTAGTCCAGGGCTTGAAAATCCAAGTTTTGCAGGTGACTTCGGAAACAATATTTAAAAAGCATTAGTTAAGAAATTTTCAATATAGACTATCACGAGGCATCGATAGTATCAAATCCATCATGGTACTACAAAGCGCATATAAAAAGTGTTGATATAAAATTTCTTATAGAAGAGAGACTTTAAAGATATGGTCTATCCATAAATATTCAGCTGGCTTCGCTTCGTCTGAGCTTCTGTTATTCAACTATATTAAAATATAGATTCAATATCTATTTAAATGCAATAAATTTAACTAAGAAATAATAGAGCCATCCGTTTGATATATGTCGATGAATACAAAAAGATTATTCAAAAGTAAATCGAGCTTGCTATCGTGTATTTTCATGGTATCCTCTAACATTTGATGTAGACAAATACATATCATGTGTTTCTTATTGAAGAAATACTACTAGTTCTCAGAACTTTTTGATTTCCGTTTGTATATGGTATTCATAAGTGTCGAGTTCATTCTATTGGTTTTTGGTGTTTGTTGAATATGCAAAAGGTGAACAAACATAGAGAATATATGTTCAAGAGTAACATCCAAGTTACTAGTTAAAATTTATTGTACTTGGTTGACATTCTCGTTAAGAGAATATGTTGTTAGTAAACATATTTAAATAATTTTATTAAAATTGCTTTTCACTCTTTGTCATTATATTTTTACCTTAACTATGAACAAGCTATGTCTGAACTTATTTTATCATTAGACTCCATGAGAATACAATGATAGAAATGGCTGAAAGGTAGTATATGATTGATGTTCTTCTGATTCCAACAAAAAGGAATAGACAGTAAATTTGATAAATATATTTTGGCATGTTATCTAATAATGATCTTTTTCAATAATGATGTCAATTACAAATATACATATATTTTCTGTGTCTGTCCAACCTAATATATTCAAAAAATACAAAAAAAGAAACTGAAAATAGTCCGAAATTTATAAAACAATTCTTTTTTATTTCACTTTCACAAGACATGTAGTAGTCAAATGAACTTATTACCGGGTGTAACAAAAAATTTGCGATATTTTTTGTTTTGCATATATTATTGTTCAGGAGTATAACAAAACGTAGAACAACAGCAGTGAACATTTTTATAGGTCGCATCATGTAATTATGTGAATTGAGCTTATTTTTCACACATTATTTTTTGTTGTTCCAACGATCTTTCGAAGTTATAAATAGGCACGAAAGAGATTTGTCTATTTGTAATTTGAGTGTATATCAAATGCTCTTTTAGAATTATTGGTAAGTGTTTGATCACAATCCATATTTGTCTAAAAACTCTGACTTGTCTGATTTGCTACGACTAAAACGATCTTGTTGACACTATTCGGATTCTTCTTCCAGCTGAGTTCTTTTCCCATGCGTTACTAGAGCTTCCCATAGAAAAAGAAGTCAATTTTTGACAAAATACTGCAAATATAGAAATGTGTTGGTCATAAGTGACATTTCTAGAATGCTTTATTTGAAAAGGTGTAACCAAACATGAAACTCACGTTATTTTCAAAATATGACCATGCGTCTAACTGAAAGAAAGAACTTTTTAAAGCTTCATATATATAAATAATCGACAAAGGATTTCAAGAGCTGTCTAGCAGTAAAACATCATCTCAGAACTAAACATTCACTTTCATGAAAAGAATAAATTACTAAAAAATGTGTGGGAAGTAGGCTCAATTCATATAATTACATCATGCGACCTATTAAGATGTTCACTTCTATCGTTTTAAGTTAAGGCGAATGGAAGTTCGTAGAGAATTCGACGGCGCATGTTTTGAAGAAAAAGATCAACATGTTTGTCATACCTAAGCAGATAAACATTTTCAAAAACGCGTTTAAACGCACAAAAAAGGGCTTAAAATCCATAAAAAGCGGACGTGTTTGGCTCACAATCGCGGTTCCCGACTGTTAGCAAAAAACGACCACTTTTTGTCCTTTTTGTGCGTTTAAACACGTTTTCAGCAAAAACACGCTTGTAACCTCGTATAAACGCATAAAAAGAACATAAAAAGTAGTTATCTTTTTCCTTTTCGTGAACTGTGATTGTAATTATGATTGTGATTCATGAGTATGAAAAAGATGACAACTTTTTATGTTCTTTTTATGCGTTTATACGAGTTTATCACCGTTTTTTTGCTGAAAACGCGTTTAAATGCACAAAAAGGGCAAAAAGTAGTCGTTTTTCGCTGACAGTCGGGAACCGCGATTGTGAGCCAAACACGTCCACGTTTTATGGATTTTAAGCCCTTTTTTGTGCGTTTAAACGCGTTTTTGAAAATGTTTGTCTGTTTGGGTACTCCTGAACAGAGATATATGCGAAGCAGGAAATATCGCAAAAATTTTGTTACACTCAATAATTAAAAATGAGCTCATGTTTGGACATTTTGATTATCAAAATTTTGTTATCAAATACAACACATATGATATTCAAAATCAGCATAAAAACTGAATCGAATAATATAGATTTTATTACAAATTATTTGCCATCGAAATTCGATCTCTACTACTGTCTGATGAATTAAAACTCCACATAAAGCGTTTCATTTTTTTCCGGTATCCATTGAGAAAAAAAAACCAGTTTTGACTTAGACTTTTGGCCCATCGTAATATAGTAACTATTTTACTATATTACTAAAAGTTTGACTCAAAACTTATTTTTGTATCAGCAGATACCGAAAAAGAATTGAGACGTTTTACTTCGAGTTTTAATTCATCGGACTGTATGTAGTACAGATCGAGTTTCGATGAAAAATGTTTTGTAATAAAATGCATATTATTCAATTCAACTTTTTATGCTGATTTTGAATATCACGTGCATTTTATTTGATAACAAAATTTTGATGATCAAAATGTTCAAGTATGAGCTCATTTTTAATTATTTTACCACTGATATCAAGAAACTTGATTTTACAAGCAATAGATCATTATTTTTTTAAACAGATACGTGACTTTTCCCCATCGGTATACTAATTGTAATCCACTAAGAATAACTTTGTCATCATCCATGCGAAAGTTCTTGATAGGTTTAATGCGTACAGAAAGCCTTTTCAGGATTCTAATCATGTTTTGAGAGGACATAGCTTATTTTAGACAACAAAAATGACTAATTCAGTATTTTATACACAGTTTTACATGAAGAATTACAAAAGATTAGTTTTGAAATTTTAAAACAGCAATAAAAATTAAGATTCGACATCATATTTTAATCTCCATCCATTTTAGATGTTTTTGAAAAACTCATTATTTTGAATTTTCTTCAGCGAAACCCAACTTTCAAAACTCTAATATAGTATTTTTCTGATGTAACTGGATGAGCTCTATCCACACAAAACAAAAGAAACAAAAATAAATTTCGACTGAACACATTTTTTAACGAGAAACTGTATAGAAACGTACTTTCTTTTGCTTTTTTTTCTTAGAAAGGAACTTAAACATGATGTGTCATCTGTTCTGCTTTTAGTACTTTTTTTTGAGTGGTTTATTCCATTGCATGATGCTTCTTGTTAAAACAATCAAGACAAAAAAGCTTTATCACAGTCAGAACAGAATGTTTTTACTTTCTTTGCTGCCGTATAGCTTGTTTCTCTTGATTGTTGTGTCCTTCACTTCGCATAGCAATTAGTTCAGCGTCTGCCGACATTGCGCATAGATCTTTCCTTTTCTTCGAGCTTGTTTTCAGCGAGTGTGCGCTTCGAACGACTTGCTGATTGTTGTCTTGGACCAGGTTTCAGCTTCTCGAATGAGGTACCAAGGACTAAAGATCGTACAAGACCTTCACGAAACTGCAGAATGGTCATGTCACTTGCGGCATATTTTTCCTTGTAAATCAGATAAGTATTAACTACTGCGGTTCCAAATATCAATTCAAATGCCACCTTTTTATAGCATTTTATATATCGTCTGAGACAATAATCAACAAGGAATGCGAAGCGCAAACCAGCTGATAAGAAGCTCGAAGGAAAGGAAGGATCTATGCGCAATGTCGGCAGACGCTGTACTGGCTGCTATGCGAAGAAAAGGACACAACAGACAAGAGAAGCAAGCTATACGGCAGCAAAGAAAATAAAAACATTCTGTTCTGACTGTGATAAAGTTTTTTTGTCTTGATGGTTTTAACAAGAAGCATCATGTAATGGAATAAACGACTCAAAAAAAAAGTACTAAAGGCAGAACAGATGACACATCATGTTTAAGTTCCTGTCTAAGAAAAAAAGCAAAAGAAAGTACTTTTCTATACAGTTTCTCGTTAAAATATAGTGTGGCCCATCAGTGGGCCACATTGTGGCGAATGAGTTAAATTTTAAATTTCCCACACCTTACTAATTTTTACATTGAAAAATATGTTTTAATAATCATCGAACGATATTATAACTAAAAACAAGAGACAATGTGTAATTATAAACTTTTGTCAATCTCCTTCAAGAATACCGACCGATTTTACGAGATGAATGTAAAAGACAAAGGCATTTTTTATTTGAAAGTCGTTTGTTAATGAAAGCAGCAACATTATTTCGTTTGTTTTTCTTTTCGTTCTTTAGTAGTCAAATTGGTCTATGTTGCTACTAGGAGAAATCGACAATGTTTACTCAGTTTTTCGTTCGTTTTTTGTTTTTACTTTCAGTCTAAAGCATTTGTTTATTCGGTTTCACTACCGTGTTTCATTTTTATTTTAGTTTGAATTGAAGAAAAGAAATCTTTATGTTGGAAATTTTATTTCAGTTCCTATAAAAAATTTTATGCTACATATTTAATTCATTTTTCTTTTACAATAAACAAAAACGATGCCTCCCAATAACAATGAAAAACAATTAAAACGATGTTTAGAAGCTGCTATTGAAATTTTGCATGGTATAATTACAAAATTTGAACCATCAGCCGTATCTCAATCAAATACTATATCGATAAATTCAGTTGTGAATAATATGAATACATTCACATTAAATATAGAGGAAGACCAAGAAATGGATATACTCAAAATGAAACTTGAAAATGCTTTCAATGACCATTTACCATATTTAACTACAATGTATCGAAATTATCTATTAAATTTTTTATATCAATATGATTATGATGATGAAAAACGCAAATTTAAGGATCATTTGAGTATGAGTAATATTCTTCCATTATGTCGTGGTCTTCAAAGTCTCTTAGCTTCGATTGATGCTTTTCAAGCTGCTTGGGATGGAAAATTAACTATTGTTGAAAAATTTATTAAAAATTATCCAACTTTAAAAGATAAACCTGGACTTTGGGGTACAACTCTTTTATATTCAGCAGCAAAAAATGATCATATGACTGTGGTTGTATATCTTATTGAAAAAGCTAAATGTTCTGTTAATGCTCAAAATGAACAACATCTTGAGAAAATTTTAGCATCAACTAAGAAAGGCTTGGATTATGATGTTAGAGCAAAAGCTGCTTCAACTGCATTACATGGAGCTTGTTTTAATGGACATTTAGAGATAGTTCAATACTTAGTTAAACATAAAGCGAATTATTTTATTAGAAATCAAGCTTTAGAAACACCACTAATGAATATAGGAACTAATGAGGATATTAGACAATTCTTTCGAAATTATCTTCTCTTAGGTTATTTAAAAACTTTAAATGATCTACCAGATAAACCTATCTTAGAAGAAACTAAACAAATAGTAGATTGTATTTGGGAATATAAACCATTTGATGAATCTGAGTGGCATTCATTTTCATCTGATGAATCAGACTTATTACAACAATCTTTGATCATAGAACCGGATCAACAATTTAAACATGAAATTCGTTTAACAGTAAACAATAGTATATATAATGTTTCAATGGCTCAATTCTTGCGTTCAGGTAAAAATCTTGATGAAAATAATTTAGCTTGGATTCGATGTCGTGGTTCATCAATATTAAATTTTGATTGTTATTCATTATGGCAAATTATGTTTCTAACACATCCAACAGTCAAATCAGATTCTATGCCATCTTTAAAAATATCTAATATACCAACAGTAGATGATTCGACATTCGAAATAGAACTTGCTTCTTGGTATAATTGTGATGCAAATACAAATTCAAGATTTGATTATGCAATGAATTATCGTCAAAAAATTCTCGAATTAAGTTTAGATTTTATTAGTGATAAGAATTTAATTTTTAATTTTCAAAAATTTTCATTTACAAATAAGAAAAACACTATTACAGGTTTTATTCGATGGATACCAAAATTGGTATCAAATAGTGAACAAGATAAAAATAAAATAAAAAATATAGATAATTTTTCAGCAATGACAAATTTAAATCCAATACCTCTTACTACAAAACGTCTTCAACAAATAACAAATGCAACTGATAGTTCTTTATCGAAAGATGATGAATTTCTTGAAGATAGAAATGAAAATGATCCAACTTCATTCGCTTTTTCAGATGATCTTGGTAATGATGATGAAGGTGATTATTTACAAAGTTCAGATGAGGTAAATAGTCACATATTTCATTTTAGTTGATTATTTATATTTTTGACTTAACCATTAGAAAACCAAGTTTATAAATTCTTATAATTGTGACAAAACAAGATCTTGTTCTAATAGAAATTCTTCTATTGAAAATTTTGATTAAAGAAAATGCGCTTGTAGGGAAACATGATCTTAAAAAAATGACAAATGTACGGGTAAAAAGTGATCCCCACTCTCATTTCACACACTTTGATAGGCATTACTATGATCATGATATACATATCTATTTAACAATAGTCTACTATAGAATTAGTCTGAAACACGGTTAAATTTAAGATACTTTTTCTGTTCATCTCTTACACTTCTTGTCACATTTCACGACTAACATTTTTCATCATTGAGATAAATTAGCATAGTAAATTATAAATAATCATACCATTCCACCTAAGAAATCTTTACTTCGAAAAATTTGCATAACTTTTACTAATCAGCAAAAATGAAGTAGTGATGGTTGGTTTTTACTGACATGACATAGTTTGGTTTTTTTTCATTAATACTTACATTTGTAATATAATTAAGAAGATTTTATAACAGTATATTTCACTAGAGAACTACATGAACTGAACACTCCTCATCGTTTGATCTCATATAGGGTTCACAAGGAATTCTCGATAAGATAAAGAAAATCCTGAACATGTTTGTATACATGGGCCTCTGGAACCAAATTATGTCCTTTTTACTCAATTTTCGATCCAACTTTAAGTATTTAACAAAAAATCAAACCAAAGCATTTCGATCTTTAGTCTTGCCCATGGATAGAACTGATGACTGGCGGACTATTCCGAAAGTTTTAGCCAAAATAAATAGTTCTTTATTGAGATATTGTATTTCCAGGAAACGGTTCTATGATCGAGTTTACTTGAAAATTCAACATCTCAATAAAGAAGAATTCTTTTTGGCTGAAACTTTCGGAATATTTCGCCAGTCATCAGCTCTGTCTATGGGCAAAATTTTAGCTCGCAATTCGGTTGTTTGATTTTTCAGTAAATACTTAAAGCGAGATCGAAAATTAAATAAAACAGTCACAACTCAGCTCTCGAAACTTAGAGACACAAACCCTTTTCAAATTTTTTCTAATCCTACCGAGATCTTCTTGTGAACCCACTATGAGCTGAAACGGCGAGTACCAGCTCCAAAAATTCCTTCACAAGAAAAACCAACAGGTATATTGAATTTTACAAGTGACTTTGAGCAGTACTATGATTAACTGAAATAGATTTTTTTTCAGGTTTTATAAAGATTTCAAGAAATAAAAACTTTTAACTTATTTTCAGACAACGAAGTCATCCGATAGTGGCATATGGACTGTCAATGATGTTATCAGTGATGATGATGAGTCTTCAATAACTGCTGATAGTCATGATGGAGCTGAAGAAGAACAAGACTCAAAAATTCCATCGGCGACAACCGATGATATTTCTGATGAGACAGAAAATGTTACAATCGAGGATTATCTTGATCCCAATGATGAAATCTCTAATCCATCACTTTCAACAAAAATAGTGGAAAATACAGAGTCGACAGAAGACCATCAAATTGCAGAAACAATGTTAGAAAATTTAAGAAAAGAAATAGAAGAACTTAAAGCTGTTCGTGATAATGAAAAACAGAAAGCTATGTTACAATTAAACTCATCTAAAAAAACAACACATGAACTCGAAGAAAAATTAGCTAAAACTCTCCAAAAAACTGAACAATTGAATGCTGAACTAGAAAAAATTAAAAAAAAAGAAGAAAAGATAATGGAAATAACTAAAACTGTTCAAACTATCAAATATACTAAAATTGAAAAGAATATTTTCTATGACTTTCTCGTACCAAAATATGGATTAATTCTTGATCATTTACAAAGAACAAAAAAATTAGACGATTTTTTTGTTGATAAAATACCAAAAATAACATTTGAAGAAAAACGTAATACATACACATTAACTGTTATTGGTATTCGAGTTCATCAAGATGCATTTAAAGAAATCTTAAGAAGAGTATTAATTTTATCGAATATAAAACAACGAGCTATTGATTTTTATCAACGACATTTAAATCGAATAATAAAATCAATAAATAAAACACTTTTTAAAGTTCAACCAAACACTAAATATTGGAAACAATATAGTAAATTCTTATATGAATTATTAAAAGAAGAAAATATTCAATATTGCACGAAATTTAAGGATTTTATTGGATCAAAAACTTTAGAACTAAGTGAATTATTTATTCTAGGTGATTCAACATCACCATGGGTTGAAATAAGAAAAGCAACTAATTCATTTATGACACAATATTCATTTACAAATGAAATTGAAAGACTCAAACATCAAGCATTAAACAAATTTATTGAACTAAATATTTCTTTTCAACGATTAAAACTTGATATAAAACCAACAAAAGATTCAATCAAAGCTCTACAACATTTTATTGAAAAAATTAAACGAATTTTCAATGAAGATCCTAAATATATTGGTTACGAATTAACTAATCTTCGTCGTATACCACACTTATTACAGCGATTAATGATTTATTATTGTTGCTTCACTATTCAACTACCTTTATATGAATCATCTATGGAATTATTAAAAGAAATAAAAAAGAATACAGTGATTACTATATCAACATCAACTGGTTCAGGTAATAATATTCTTAAATATTTCATTAAATATCTTAATATGAAATTCACTTTTTTTTTCTACATTTTGTTTCTAGGAAAATCAACATTATTACCAGCATTGTTGATAGCTGAAGGATATGATAAAGTAATTGTAACACAACCTCGTCGTTTACCTTGTAGTTTAATTAGTGATCGTGTTAATAAAACCATGACAACTGATACAAGTCCTAATGCAGAAAAATTAGCTGGATGGGCTGTTAGCGGTGATGAACGTAATTCACGAGCAAAAATTCTTTATTTAACAGATGGCTTACTAAAAGAACGTCTACTTAACGACGAACATTTTATTACAAATAATACAAGTGTTAATAGATCTATTGTTTTTTTTGTTGATGAAGTGCATGAAAGATCCGTTAATATTGATCTTTGTTTAGCATTAATAGCTCGAATGTTAGCTACGAATCAAGCATTATCATCTAAAATCAAAGTTATTATCTCATCTGCTACATTACATCCATCTGTACCAAAAGTTTTTCAACAAATAAATCATCTTAAGTTTTCAGAATTTACAAAACCATTAATGGGTACTCTTTATCCTGTAACAAAATTTAAACGACCAAATGCAAATATTCTAAATATTGTACAAGAATTATATCATAAACGACGAAGACAAGATCAAATATTATGCTTTGTTAATTCAGCTTCAGAAGTTAATCAATGTTGTCGTTTATTAACTGAAATAAGTCAAAATACAATTGTTGCTTATCCATTAATTCAAGCTCAATCATCTATTACTCAACAAGAATATCTTGAAAAAGGAAGTGTTTTCTTTTCAACAACAGTTGCTGAAACGTCTTTAACATTTCCATCATTAAAATATGTTGTTGATACCGGTATGATTAATATTCCTGTTTATGATATTGAAGGTAAACGAATGATATTGAAAGAAGTTCCTGCAGCTGAATCAACAATAAAACAACGTCTTGGACGTTTAGGAAGAACACAACCTGGAGAATATTATGCGTTGTATGATTCTGATGTTAAACATAAACCATATCCAACACCACAGATATGTCAATCAGATTTAATTAGTATTGAATTTTCATTACGAAAATCACCATTGAAATGTGGATTAGATTATCTGAAAGAATTTTTACCTGAAAAACCCAAACAACCAGCTATAGATTTTACTATTCATGAATTAATTAGAATGAGTAAGTCATTTTGATCATTTAACAAAAAAAAACATAAACTTATATTTTGTTATTCAAATGCATACTAAATCAGGAATACTTTAGAATACAAATCTGTAGAGTTGGATTGAATACAAGGTATGAAAAAAATCTAGTGCTGCACATATTATACTGCGATAGTATTTGTACTATTTATCACTGTTAAAGTCTTCCTCTTGCCGTAGAATCCATACCATATTAGGTGAAAAATTTGTATGATAGGGTAACGGGTACAAAATTATTTTTTAGTCAAAGTACAAGGCATAAGAAATACTTAACCTGCACATCTCTACTTTAAAATTTATTAAGATAAATCTTATTAATGACATTGAGATTTGTACATAAAGGTTCTCAGTTTTATATTCTAAAAAGCAAACTTATATCATTATTCATCCTATTTCCTATTGTTTATCGAAATAAATCCATTTATATGCAATCTAAAAATATATAATGATATTCATTCTGATGAAAATTATATCTTGAATATTCTTTGATTTTAGGTTAGGAAACGAATATAATGAGAAGTAATCAAATCTTTTTTTGACACGATATGAATTTCTATATTTACAAAAATGCTAGTTGTATCATGAACTATTAATATTGAATTCTCTATTGTTATAGATATTTTGGAATCAAGTTCAGATCAATTGACGAACTATGGTAAATTGCTTGCTAAATTACCTGATTTTGGTTCTTTGCCTATGGCACAATGTGTATTAGCTGCTCTTCAACTATACAATTGTGGACGTGATTTGATTTGCCTTGCATCTATTCTAAGTGTTTTAAATACAACAAGTTTATTAACAAAATTACCGCAAAGTTTTAAAAGTTCAGATGGCGATTTTATGACACTTCTAAGTGTAATGAATGAAATTTTATTAATTAAACAATCTGTTCCAGCACGTGCATTTAAATTAACACGTGTTTGTGAAGCTAAAGGTCTTAGTCATATAAAACATATTATTGGACAAGCATTAAGACGATATACTAGTTTGGAAAAATCATTTGATCTTTCAAATGATTATCGTGAACAAGCTCAAATTAAATGTGATAACTGGGAATTAATAGCTAAAGCATTATTAGCAGGTTATTCAGACAACGTCTTTGTTTCTAAAAGAGATTTACAAGATAGGACTCATCATTTTGTGCGTTATAGTAGTAAAAATGATACAGCTGTTTTAGATTTAAAATCAACATTAACACGACCCATTAGTCAAGCACCGGTATCTCTTGTCGTTGCACGAGACATTCTTTATTTGAGTTCAGTTCGTTTAACAGCTATAATTTCATTCTTAGGAGAAATAAAAGTTGATTGGATCGAACATAGTATTGAACGTCAAATAAAGTTAAATGAAGCTGAAGAAAATTATCTTAAAGAAAATAATGGATATTCAACTGCAAAATCAATGTTCTCCAATAAGATTCAGCTAGGATTAAATAATAGACTTCTTAGTTTAAGTGGTCCGGCAGGTGTTGTTCTCAATAGTGAATTATATCTGTTTCAACAAATGATTATTGAGCATCAATTTTGTTTAGAAAATAATAATTCTACAAAATATAAAAATTTATCACAAAATTTAGATAGTGTCATGAAAATGACTCAAATATTTAATCCAATGATTTGGAGATGGGAAGCTCAAAAACAAGTTAAAATAACAGTTAATAGTAATACAGCCACTAAAACATGTGAAATAACAATTAGAGGAAGAGATTCACAAGTTCAACAAGTCAAAAAAGAATTTGATTCATTTCTAAGTTGGTTACAAGAGTGTGCTGTTATTAGACATCCTAACGCAGGTACAGAGAAATACTTTTTCTTTTGATGTTTAGCATTTCTTTAAATGATCTTCTATGAACGCAAACTAATTTTAGCTTGTTTTTTTTTAAATTAATTAATTTCAGGTGTTTCTCCACGTCTTCTTCGTCCTCAAATGCGTATTTATTGCGAAGATATTGAACAACGAATTTCTCATGTCACAGATCCTACACGAACATTTATTGATTTGTATAATAGTGTGAAAGGTTCGACAGCAACACGTGAAACACGAATGGAAGTTGTTGCTTGGATAGCTGTTTGTAAATTTGATTGTAAATTAGAAGGTGGTTTTGTTCGAGATTGGATTGTTGGAAAATATACAGCACATCCAACTAGTACCGATTCAAAAGATTGGATTGAATATAAGACAAATTATAACAATGAAGAAATTCCTTACATGAAAAGAGAAATTGTTCCAGCTGATTTAGACTGTCATTTACCTACACATGCTTATTTTGATATTGAGAAATTTCAAGATGAACTTTATAGATTTGGTATTAATTGCAAACATTATCGAGAAAACTGGAGATATATTTTATTAATTGATGAAGATACTCGAACAGGACCATTTACTATGGATTTAATTGAACCACATGTTGCTTTAACACAGGATCGTATTGATTTTGATGTGAGTAATTTGGTATTAGAAAAAAAATATACGCGTGATTTAGGCATGCGAATTGACATTCAACAAAAACCCTATTTGATTGAACTTGAAACAATTGTTGATAATATAAAAAATAAACGTTTTTATGTTCTTCGTACTATTGACAATAGAGTAACCGAACGTATTCATAAAATGATAAATATTCGCCAATGGAAACAATTAGGACAATCATTCAATGTTTTACCCAATCCACATCCAAAATGTAACGTACTTCTTGTACCATTACATCATACAAGTACTTCATATATAGCTCTGTCAAAACAGATGCAATTGATCAATAGTTCATTAAAGATTTTATCCATCGAGGAAATTAAAAATCCATATTTGGAAGAAATATATGAAGGTATGAAAAAAGTAATCGCTAGGCAATGTCCAGGATTTAATCCAAATGAGCGTGAACTTTTTCATGGTACAAGTGGTGATGGAATTAATGGAATAACAGAAGATGGCTTTGATGATCGATTTTTCAATCCGAATGGAGCTTGGGGTAAGATTTATCTTCGAACTATTAATTTTCAGATCCTAAAACACTTATTTATAATCCTTCATGTTTAAATTTAATTATGAAATAAGAACTTTAGTTTAACATAATAAATCTTATAGTTTTGATACAAATAAAACGTACGTTCATATCTTTAAATAATTCAGCTTAATATATGAAAATGATTTGATAGAGAATAGTATCGTTCCGAAAAACTCTGACATTGACATATTTTATTATTTTATATGATTGATTATTTTATGGTTTATCATATAGGTCATGGTGCCTATTTCGCTGATGATACTCGAAAATCGCATAATTACACAAATCCTGATTCAACAGACGGATCACGTGTCATATTTTATAATAAAGTGCTCTTGGGAAATGAGTCAATCTATTCGACCGCCGACAGTTCATTGGTATCTGCACCGATAGGTTATCATTCAGTTCAAGGAACAAAATTTACATATAAGGAATATATAGTGTATCGCTACGGTCAGGCTAGACCTTATTTAAAAATCATTTATACAGTTTAACTTACTACAAAATTTATGATTATTCAACGAAAATCATTTCGATCTTCTCGAATAAAGAATAATAATTGGACATTATCATGTGTGAATGTAGAGTATTTTCTTTTCTCTAACACAAAATAAAACTAGATAACATATAATTTCTATTGTGAATTAATAAAATTTTTATTTACTCTGTGTATCATTAGCATTCAAATAAAATCCATCTTGAGAGTGTGGAATGTGGATGGGTAGAAATATGAGCACATGGACGCTATGGTGTGAATGTATATGTAGATGATAACTTGTGAAGAAAAGATTGATACATAAACCCTTGTTGCATACGGCTGTCACCTACACTTCACCACCTCTTGATACTAGTAGCCTGTGAAAAACTATTTTTCTTCCTCTGTTTCAAGTGTGCATATGCTTGCGGTGGAATCTCAGCTTTTGTGGACTATGAGAAGACACGCACCAACACTCCAATATGCTTGCACTTTGATTGGATGCGGGTGTGCATTAGAGTTAGGGTTAAGAGAAGACACATCCACAGCAGACTCATATCAACACTCACACCCTTAACTGAGCCATGAAAATAACAATAGTTAAGCACGAGCGCATTTTCCAGCCTTTTCTCTGATTTTACCATCAAATGGGAAAAAATTCATTTTTCAACAATAAAACAGAATCTAAAAAGTTCTAAATAAGTACTTTTGTAGCTCATGATCTCACGATTCTAATGAGACAAGACACGTGCCTCTATCTCTTGTTATAAAAATCTAAATAGATTTATAAGAATACACACAAATACATGCTATAAGGCATACTGGGACTATCTATATTGTACAGGATTTTTTAATCTTATTAATTCTAAACTCAAACAAATAAAACTTTCCTAGTCAGACTTTGATGCTAAATCTGAATAAAATATTGTCATACAATTTGAAAGAATAAAGTAATTGAGATTTAACAATTTCTATGAAAAAAAGGAAGTTCATAATTGTGAATTCAACATACGCAGTTATTCAAGTTTTTTACGATTTTTTTCAGCGAGGCAGTGATCGAATCACAATAAAAACTATAAATGCGTCACCAGCTCGTCAAGCTGTATCATATCATATATAAAAGAACGAGAAAAACAGACACTCACATTTTACTTCCCCCATACCTTACATTGTTATCGCTTCTGTCAATATGCCAAGTTGGAAAAAATTCTACCAACTATGAATGATTGTTCGCACAGAAGAACAACAGAAGAGATGGCGACGACAACAACAACTACTGATCGAACATTTCTTTCATCTGATATACCTTTCAGTTTGTTCACTAACAACTTGAAACAAGATTCCATCCATGATCTAAAGGAAGAGAGTAAAACATTTCTATGGCATCAATTTATGCTTGATGTTCTCCTTGATATTCCTCGTTCACCAAAAGATATCGAAAACATGATTGCGGCTTGTCATCTTGTGAATGATTATGATCGCGACGAGCCAATTACATTATTGCAACATGAGATCGATAGATTTTTAACGGAGTATAGATCCGATACGACGATAAATTGGTACACGCAAGATTCATTTCTCTATCGTGCCTTCAACAAGGCTTGTCGGATGCTCAATAGTGATGCAATAATCTTATTTCATCCGATTATTAAGGATCTTACTGCTCAATTGAAACAGTATCACAATCAACAGATGACTAGCGGAGAGCTTGCACTACCGTTGACTGTTTATCGTGGACAAACAAAAATGGCCAATGATGAATTGAAGAAAATTGAAGAGAATATTGATGGTCTTATATCGATGCACACATTTTTATCGACAACAGTGCGCTGTAATGTCGCTTGTGATTATGTTTTTGGTGCTGATCCAGATACAACCGTAATCTTTCAAATTACTGTTAAAGACACAGAACAAGGCAAACGCATGAATACGTTTGCTCGTATCTCTCAAAAAAGTTCGTTTAAGGACGAAGAAGAAGTTCTTTTCGGTGTGTCATCCGTCTTTCGAATCATTTCTGTTCAACAAGAAGATTATTTCTGGTTTATCCAATTAGAATCAACCACTTTCCAAGAAGATGAAACTGTGCAAAGATTAATGAGCGAGATTCAGACTTATTTGTATCAAAGTTCTGGTAAACAAGTACCGTTTTTTATTTTCAAACAATTGTTTACAATTGATTCTATCAATTATGCTCGACCGCTCATCGAACTAACACGCTTCATTCTTGTTGAAACAATTCAATCGTTTCTGGCTCAGGCTTATAAGAAAGAAGGTCGCATGAGAGAATTGATCGAAAACGTGCCGGACTTACACGCATTAATCACAATGAGCAACGCAGAGATTGTTCGTCCGAAAAGCAGAATTATCTGTCTTCTTTTCGATATGTTACATGATTTTCTCTATCCAAAGAATAACAAGGATCAAGAAGTAATACTTTTTAATAACAATAATGGCGCATCTTTACTGTGTTTCGGTGGATTTTTATTACTGACCGGTGACTTAATGAAGGGTTGTCGATATTTTAAAATACTTCTAGAAAATGAATCTATCGATGACACAATGAAACTCTTTATACATAGAATATTAGAAGCAAGTGATGTTGTCATAAAGGACAAAGAACTGGTATGGAATTCTGATAAGATGGCAATGAAAGTACTTGAAACTTCTGCCGCACAACTTATGCCTGGTTGGTTTCCGAATCTTATTGCTTCTACTCATGTGACTATAGATGATCCCAACAAGGAGATAGAAAATAGAGTGAGTAAGTCCGATTTGTTGATCAATCAAGAATCGTTAGATAATACAGTTGATGAAAAACTACGTCTAATATATTTGGGTCACACTTATTTTCAAAAAGACAATTTTCTGGAAGCACTCAACTACTGGGAAGAAGCAGCAGAAATCGAATCTCATATGCCTGCTTCAGCCGAAACGATCTATAATGGAAGTGTTTATATTCAAATGGCTGCAGCATACTTCAGATTGAACAATAAGATCGATGCTTTAAACACCATGGAAAAAGCCATCGAATATCTGAAATCTTATTATCCACCAACGCATCGAATGTTTGCTACTTTGAACTTCTTGCACGGATATTACCTCATGTACAATGAAAAGCTTTCTGAGGCGATCAAATCCTTCAATAAATCATTGGAAAATCCGCATTTTTCTAACAATGAAGATTTTTGTGCTCTAGTTTATACTTTATTAGTCTCTGCTTCTATGCAATATGGTGATCTGGACTCTGCAGAGTACTATTGCCTTCGAGCAGTCGCATATAAATCAACAAATATTGGAGCACAAGCTGTTCATATCTTAAGACAAATACCGGAGCTAAAAATGGTGGCTCAATACAATGGTCCAGATTTCATTCGTGAAATGATTAGAGGTAGTCTTCAATCTGTTCAACAATTAATTTCGCAGATACATCCCCATTCGAGTACCATTTCTGGATTAAACAATGAGGAAACATGGACTTTCGAAAAATTTATTACTGTTGCTGATCATTATCGTCATCGAAAAGATAATGAACATGCTGAATTGTATTATAGCAAAGCACTTGACAAGATGACAGAAGCCGAATCGAAATCTATGTGGAATGTCTATAGAAAAATGGTCAGAATGGGTAGTAACAGCGATCAATATCAGGATTATTTTATCAAACAATTTTCCAAATATGATGATAATAATCCAAATCATTTTTCAATGATTGCTACACTACAAACAATTCTGTATAAATTGAGTCTCTTCCAAAATGAATATACAGTGGCATTCGATTGCTTGATAAGTAGTGTATTGATGGCGGTAAAATCATTATTTTATCAAAGTAAAGCCGATTCAAAGTGTATATCCAAACTACTTGATGGCTTTCTCCATCATGATTTAATCGCTAAGGTTGCCATCTTTCTAACAAAATTGATGGATTTCTATTCAATCGATTTAATAGCGCATCTTCAACCGATTTTATCGAAATATGTAGTTATTGATGATCTAGCTTCAATCATACATCATACAGCGGTGGATTGTTTCTTTGATCGAATGAAGTCGAAATGCGAGAATGATCCTTTGGCGGAGACCATTTTTCGATTTCTCCATACGATATTAAAATGTTTGCGCCAGAGTATTAGTTCGACGGAGGAATCAATACTCCCATTTGGAGATCAAGTTTTGAAGTTTCTTAGAAATTACAAGGATGAAAAATCACCGTGGTTCTCTTTGATGAATGCTTTAGAATCGTTATGTATCGGTGACAATGAAAATTTCTTCATCAATGTCGATCATTTTCGATTGCAAACAGCTACTTTTGAACGATACCAACAACTGAAAGAAAATTTATCTATTATCTTTGCAAAATTTGATGAAACTAAGCTGTATTCATACTTAAAACGTATCGACAAAATTTTGTGAACTTCTACATATTTCTTATATTCATATGAACTAATGAGTGTTTCAGACCAAATAAACCTTTCTATATTTTATTGGCATATTTATTAATACAAAATTGTTCAGTTTTACTTTTTTTTAAATTTGTTGAAAGATTCGCCTTTTCATCCTCTACACGAATCTATATGCTGATTCATATCATGGCCCAATCAAGATCTTTCATAATTAAAGTGATTTCTGATAGTTTAGTGTGGATGAGGGTTATTTGAGACTGAGATTTAGATATCAGCCTTGTCCTTACTTACATTGTTAAATAGGAAACAATTCTGAAATAGATGTGAAATATTGATGCTGACCATTATTCACTTAATGTATGTTGTCAATAGAACATGGAAAGAAAATATCTGAATAATAGGCATTAATTGGATTTTTTAAGGATTTGAAACGAAACAGAAGGTGATATGAGGAAGTGTAGGTTCGAATCTCCAGATAAATAGCAATGAAGTGTGTGAAGAGCCATAACCAGTTATATGGTGGGGTGAAACTGTGAGTTGAACACATAATATTGGATCTTTCGTGCCGTACATATTTGTTCTAGTGAAATGATCGAAAGCAATAAAGTACGGACCATTTATTAATTTAAATGTGATCTAAGAACAATAACTAATCATCAGATTGACTATTCTTGATTTTCTATTCGTACTCAATGATCTTCAGAATGTTACGGATATATCTATTTCCCTTATCATGCTGAGAAACAGTCAAATTATTCCTTAGGTATACGTAAATTGCGTTTGTGAGCATACTGAACCGCAAAGGATATGATTGTCTGTCTTCTCTGGCGGCACTATGTTTGATTATACTAACGTGGATTTTTTTTTATTCAATGTATTCTGACGAAGATAGCATAAAAAATTCTTCTAACTGTAATGTTTATAGCATTATTTTCAGTATTACTCTGATTGAACAGAAAATGTATGAGAGATCATCACATTCTATTCTTCATTTTTCCATGCCTATACCTTTCAATAGATTCATTTATTGTTATTCTATGTTTTTATTGCTGTTTCACGCATACTTTTTTTTTACATTGTCAATTATAATTACTTATAATCTTTTAGAACTATAGTTTAAGAATATCTTAATATACAAGTAATTTTAAAGCAGAAACCCCAAAAACTATTGAAAATATGTATAGAATTCAAAGTTTATATTCTTGACGTGTGTCAAACATTGTGAATTAACAATTTAAGATATGACGAGTACGAAAAAAACTACAACTATTTTATTATCATTGGTTAATCAGAACTCATTTTCATAGTTTTAAAATATTCTTGGCTAATATATGTACGATATTTAAAATAATAGTGTTGTTGGCATAAGATACAATAATTCAAATCTGTCCCATACCACCGTCAACGAAAAGTTCTATACCTGTTACGTAGCTACTATCATCTGAAGCAAGAAAAACCACAACTTTAGCAACTTCATCAGGTGTACCCAGACGATTCATTGTTGTAGCAGCTGCACATGCGTCGACATATTCTTTCTGTTCGTTTTCAGTGTTTCCTACATTTCTTAGTATCGGTGTATCTATTGGTCCTGGACTTACAGCATTTACTCGAATATGACGTTCTTTTAGATCGACTGTCCAGCACCGAGCAAAAGATCGAACAGCCGCTTTTGAAGCACTGTAAACACTTTCATTTGGATATGCTTTGATAGATCCAACTGATGCATTCAATATAATCGATCCACCATTGGCAAAAATTGGTAAAGCTTTCTGTACAGTAAATAAAACACCTTTAACATTGATATTGAATGTATCATCAAAATGTTTTTCAGTAACTAAATGAATTGGTGCGGTCTCGAAAATTGCAGCGTTAGCGAAGAGAATATCTAAACGACCTTTTTCTTTTTGAATCAAGCTGTATAATCTATCAAGATCAGCCATATTGGATACATCTCCTTGCACAGCAGTGACATTTTTGCTATTAATCTTTTTTATGGCTTCATCAAGTGCAGTTTGACGTCGTCCAGTGATGAAAACATGTTCTGCTCCTTCATCGACAAATCGTTTAGCAGTAGCCAAACCAATACCATCAGAACCTCCTGTGATGAGAGCAATTTTTCCTTCAAGTTTACCCATTTGTCTTTTAGTCTAGTCGTTGATTGCCTATGCTTATTCACTATTGTACACTATATTAAAAACTTACAACCTATCATACGTTTTAATGCCTAAATAAATGTTTCGTTTGTGGTGATATTTATTTTGTATTCTATTACAAAAACTACTCTCATCATGATTACCTTGATTCTTTTTCGTTCTTGATTTTCTTTTATTAAGGCAAAGAAAGCTTGTAAATGCTCCTTCCTTTCAATCGTCACAGATAACTTGCAATTAAGATATGCACTTTTCAAATAGAAACAGGCATAATTTTGTATATGACATAGAAATGTCACACCAAGTTTTCGTGTGCAAAAATGTTTATTTGCTGTTGACAATATCCGAAAAAAAACTAAATCGTTTTCAAAGTGTTGCAATAATTTTTACGATTAAATGGATAAAATTCATCGTTTATATGAACGTATTATATTCATGGTGCATGTTTTAGTTTTTGTCTTTTGTAATTAACGAGCAAACAGCCGTAGAGCCTATTTTCCAACAGAAGAATTAGTTTTTGAAATATATATTGAATAGACAACTAATGTTGATGTTAAATGTTAATTTGCCTTTCTATCATTCTCGTTTCATACACATAAGTTTTCGACTGCGACCCACGAGAAAGATGTAGCTTCTAGTCAAAAAATCTTTGGTAAATAGCACAAATACTATGGTCGCGACCAGCAGCCGACTTTGCCCAGTTATGTTTAATTCTGACAGAAACTAGAAAAATCCTATTACTAGATCAGGATGTTAGATTTCCTCTATTCTGCAGAATTTTACTGCTGGAATCGATCTAATGTCATTCATCTGAGTACTTACCTAAAACTGTAATCTATCAGCTATACATCAGAAATTCCATAAGATTTATTTATGGATTAGAGTTCCAAATGACTTGATTCTTATAGGAATTCATTGTAAGATAGTTTTCTAAAAGGTAGACATATTCATGATTCATTTTGAATTTCGTTGCCACTATTACCTTGTGTCACATAGATATGAAAATTGAAATGTAATAATTATAAATATAACATTATTAACATTATATCTTGTAGTATGTTCTGTTCTTTGAATTAGACATATTTAGAGATTAAGATATGAAATACAAAAATCAGACATATATTATGGAGCAGCAGTTATCAAATTAATTATTTCTGCTTAATTTCTACTTTTGACATTAAATTTCAAACTGATTTTTTTTCTCATGATGTCGTTTCGATTTCAATCTCTTATCTATTTCATGCCCTTCTGTAATTTTTGCTTAACAATTTTTGATTTTTTATATTTTTAACGATTTTTCGTAGTGTCGTTCGTTTGGTCTCTTTGATCATGTTTTCTTTGCATGACTGTTATCTTTTGCTTTGCCACTCTTACGTGTTATTATTTTCACTATCTTTACTTATGTGAATCCATATTTATAAGGCTTTTTCATCCTAGTGTTAGGTTACTTGAATAAATATTCAAATATGCAATCATGTCTTTAAACAGATAGAAAAAAAAACCTGGAAGCGCTTTTGCATGCAATTACGATTCATGATTATGAGTCGAAAATATTTGAAGAATTAATCTGTAGAAGTGTTCAAGAATTTATAAGGTACAGTTTCTAAAATTGAGGTAATTCATGAAGTAATCATTTATAGATAATAATCATGGACCAAGATAAACATCCAAAACAAGGTACACCTTTCAATATTTTTCATACATTTTTATTATTCTTTTATGAGATTCGTATCCATTCTTAACCTATGGTCAAAGCTTCATTTGTCGAGAATAGAACTTCGAAATGTGTTTATTAGCTCATATGATAATCTTAAAGAGTTTTCTAGTCGAGAACCTTTAAATGTATCACTATTTCCTTCGAAATCCAATCCAAATGTAATCTTATATGAAAGATAAAAAAAAATCAAGATCGATTTTGTTACTTGTTTTTGTTTTTCAAAGAATCCGTTAGTTTATGAATGAAAAATAAAGAGAAAAATTCTTATACCATTCTTTCAAGATTTATTGCTAAAACTCAATTGGAATCTAAATTCTCTATAAATTTTCTCATGAATATTTGTAGATTGAGTCACGTATAATCGTTCTCATCTATAACAAAGACAAAGAAACATACTATTAGAAAAAAGAATCCAAATATGAACACAAAAACTTTCATCTACTTGGTTATATGCTTCATTTTGGTAGGATTACTTGGCACAATCATGGCTAGACCTAAGTAAGTTGACAATAATAATACAAATATAATGATTCGTCACAAAACTATTGAGTTTTCAATATATCCATTTTCTAGAAGTCTCAGATTTTCAGAGAGCTCGCACTTTTGAACTTTGATCTACAACTTAGTGGGTACAAAGAATTCAACTAGACTAGTTTCCACAAAAAATTTATGTTATTTTTTTACGGACGCTAATCTAGTGAAGTTCGCTACATGCACATAACTTCAGACCAAAAATTCGAATATATGAGTTTTTCGAAAATTGAGCGTCATACAAGAATTTCTCGAAACTAGACATATTGAGAACCCGATACCTGACTGAAATCGCATAGGAACTCGATTCTTCTTACAGCTTCTCATTAGAATATTATGTAGTATCTACAAGAACAAAATCGTTGAAATTGGAAGGGAACATCTGCAGAGGTTCCCTCTTTTGTCAAGATAATTAGCTTTTTCGTTTTTTTTTGAAGCTTTCAGTTTACATCGACTCAAGGTAATTGTACTGGTAGCTGTAAGTATACTTCTCACGTCAATCAATGTGGTGATGGATGCTTTTGCTCTCCAAGATGGGCAGGATATGGAGTCTGTGAAACATCAAACAAGTAATTTTATCTTCTAATACACATATTTCCCGGCTCATCCAGTAATTAAAAATCTTAAAAGAAAACCAACATCTTTCAAATATTTCTTTTATATTAATTAATATTACTAATAATAAAAGAAACAAAAATAAACTATAATTAACAAGTACAGTTATAATCAGATATAATAAAACAAAAAGTTCACAAAAATTCAAATCAAGCATGTAATATTGAAAAACTTTGACAACAATTATGTAGGAACAGACCGATACTTTTAAAGTTTGTAGAAAACATCCTACGTTATATCAACTACCTAATTTCATCATAATTAGTAATCAAGTATGTACTGATTTATCAAGACACAAGTACAAGTTTACAACATTATCTTCTTTAATTTATGAAGTTATTAATTTGGTCGAATATATTATTATGAATGACAATATGTACTATCTAACATATAAGTATAGGATGAAAACTAAAAGAAATTATTTTCAAACATTATTTCTTGTATTCAAGGTCGCTTCTTTAAGGTTTTATAGATTGTTGAAATCCGATGAATGTATATTTAAGCTTTGTCTTCACTATGAAAAATAGCATTGGAAATCAGGTAAAATAATGTCAACTAAAAGTCTTACAAAGACTTAAAAAGAAAATATAATTCATCTAAAGGTTATAACTCATAACTCACTTTATGCAAATGATCTCCATATGCTTGCTAAGATAATGCAATATTTTCAAAGTTAAAAATCAAATATATATTGAAAAGTTAATGCATGAAAGAGTTCTATTCAAAAAAAAACTGCTTTAAGAAAGTTTAAAACCGAAAAGAATTTCAATGTTTCCAAGTTCTTCGAAAATGAATTGTTTTATATGTTACAAAGATAACAAATGAGTTATATCCGATAGAGTTTCTTTTTTTTTTACTAGATATTCCTACATTTGTATTCTATCAATAGTTGTAATGCCAACAGTTCAAAGTCATGTTTACTAGACGAGAGACTCCAAAATAACAAGGAAAGTAAAATGTAGGAAAATCATCAGAAATGATTATAATTTATTAGAATCCTTGAGTCTCAGATTCAAGTTGAAATTTCAAATTTTTGTTCAATCTTAATGTATTCTATTCTTTTATATATTTTTATTCAATAAAATATTTTTCTTGTGTATTATAGCTATGATTATAAAGTGATCAAGATCCATTACAATTAAACCTATTTTAAGACGTGACAGCTATTAACAACATAAAATGTTGATTCACTTTATGTATACGTAATACTTGTCATATCTTGATTCTTTTATAATTCTATTTCGTACATTTTTCTTGTTTAAATATTTACTTATACATGATAGTTATCATTTGTAAATAACAATTTAATCAATGTCTCTTATTCGTATCATTATAAAAGAAATGGAGATTAATATTCAAACTGAATGTTCCCTAGAGATGATATTGAGCTTGACGACTATCAAGTGAGACTACCAGAAAAAAAAATACTGACTCATAGATGTTAGATCCTTTGTCAAAAGAACTTATATGTCCAATTAAGAATGCAAAGAATTATTAAGAAGTCAACAAAAGCGAAAATCTAGACATGGGCAAAATCTACGCTTTTTGAAATAGGAACCATATCGGAATTGCATCTCACAAATCACGAACACAACATTACCGAAAATAACGACAAAGGCATCGATCTGCAGGACTGCATTTGAAATGAACAGAAATTATAAGGATATTTTAGATCACGACAATAATCGTATTGTTAAAGAACAAGAAGACGATGAACCAAATTTCCGTAATAACTCCTTTTTTTTTAAACATTTACAACTGTGACTGAAAAAGCAATACATATGAATAATTAATTTAACTTTTTGAAAGAAGATAAAGCAAAGTTTAACTATCTTTCATGAAAATACTTTCGATTCTCATATTCTTCTGAATTGAAATCGGAATCGCCTATACTTAAATAGCACTTATGGACTTCATTATTCGAGTGCTTGATAGACATTAAATATATTACTTTTCCGTCTAAATCTGTTGTCATCTATGTCAAATATATAAGTTGAAAAAAAAAACTTATGTCACATTTTTTCCATACATGTTTTCTTTCTACGTTTTCATAAATCCACTTTGACAATCTGTTCATAATATAATATCATTATATAGTCGATAGTGTTCTCTAGCAAACATCTAAGTGTAGAAATGAAATAATAAGAACTCATTTCTGAAGAAATAATTAAACAAATCATTCCTTAATCTGAATTTGAGATTGAAGAACGATAATTTCATTTTCTTTTCATTCCTTATTGAATTTTCTACAGATGAAGCAAATATTATATTGAATAAATCTTTTAAAAACCTTTCTATCTATCTATTTTTTTTGAGACCAAATTTTTGTTTATTTCAAACCTTTCGTTTTCAAAATAGTTCATCAAAAATAATACTAAGCTTTCATTGTAAAATCAACTACAAATTCAAGTAAATATCACACTATGAATTTAACAAAAAAAAAAACAGACAAATATTCATCTTAACTCTTACAAAAACTATTTTGATTACATAAATGCATAGTTACATACTAAATTCTAATAATGAAAACTTTGACAAGGACGGTTTCTTTTATAATTAATATAGTGATATGTACTTGAAAAAAGACTATAGGATGAACTATCTAAAAAACTACTATAGTAAATAATGATATTAACTTTCAAGAATTGTTTCATCAATATTTCGCATGAAAACCGTAAATAAATGCTTTTTTTTTTTGTAAGAAATAAGGATAACAAGAATTTACTCAATTAAGTTATAATTATATAAGAAACAAAAATATATCAAAACATTTAATCATTATTTATATCGTCTGTTGTTTTTTGAAATTCAATTTCAATTGTTTTTTGATTTCCTGTATTTGAAAATGACAAAAACCAACTTGTTCGAAAATCAGATTTCTTCCATTGTGAATGAAATTCTATTGTAAGATAAATTGTAAATACTCCCCTAGAGAAAAATAATCAACAATAAAATTATTAGAAATTTTTTTTTCTTTTTGTTTTAATTTTCTTACCATCCAATTCTTGTTAAACAAAATGGAGGTTTATCAAGAACAATTTGTGATGGTGTAAATGTTGGATGTAAATTAATTGTAACTTGTTTAATATACTGACTAATATCATCTTGATCATCATTATTTAATTTAACAAAAAGTGTCCATTCATGTCTTGTATAATCATAATCACATGATAATAATTGATGTGTATTTCCAATAATTAAACGTTTTTTAATAATTTGTTTACGTTCATTCTCTGTTTCAATTCGTCTTATTTCATATTCTTTTTCATATTGTTGTCGAAATAAATTATGAAGTATTGTATTTGTTTTTAAATGACTAGAAGAAGAACGAAGATAATTTAAATCATCTCGACATATTGGACATTGTAATATACGTTCTGATGTTAATATAAAACGTTCCATACATAAAAGACAAAATGTATGTCCACATAATGTTGATATAGGTTCATAAAGTAATTTTAAACAAAATGGACAATCTCGATAAACATTTAATATATCAATATTCATCTAAAAAGAAAATATTTATATGGAAGCAAAAAAAAAAATGCCATTATAAGAAATTTTTTTAAAATAAATCACACCGGTAAAACAAAAATAAAAATCACCGAAAATAAAATTTCATAAAAATATTCAACTATATGAAGTCTTTTTAACAATATGCACTGGTCGAGTTGGAGAATTTTGGCGTAGAATCTAAGAAAAGAAAAATTTGTTGTGTTTTTTTTTTTAAATATTATAATAATAATTATTCTTACTGTTGGTGATAAACGCATTGGATTTATTTCACGAATTTGAGAATTCGATGATATTTGAGCTGAAACATTCAAATGATGATCATATTGATATGGCCAAAATGGACGAGATACATACTAGAATAAAAATAATATTTATTCGAAGAATATATCAGAATATTTTTACTGGTCGTTCTCGATGGGTTTTTCTTGATGATCGACTAACACATAACGATAAATGGTTTGTTGCATTACCCATTATTAATGAACGAATCATTCTCTCGTTCTCATAATACTGTTATCTGAAGAAAAAAGAATATCACCAAATTGTACGGAAAAAAAAAGAAAAAAAAAAAAAAAGTTGTCATAAAACATAGATTTCGTAAAAAGTTCTTTCAAAGTCAATTCATTTGCCACTAAAAAGAAAAGAAAAACAAAGATTAAATAAAATTACAAAAAAAGAAAACTTATAATATTTATTTACTCGAAGACCACCACTATTATCAGTTTGTTTAGGTAATTTTGCTTGTTGTTGTTCGATACGTTCAAGTTCACTTTGACGCTGTTTCAATCGACGTAATTCATCTTCATCAACACCACGTCTTTCATTTTGCTGTATACGACGGCTAGCAGCTTCAGCTGCTGTTTGTCGACGAGAATCCTAGAACAAAAAAAAAATAAATTTCATATAAGACGATTGGATTGTTTGTTTCTTTTTTCTTTTGTAATTCAATAGAATTGAAAAAGAAAAAAAAAAGTACTTAGTTAATCACTCAATTTGCTCATATTAATTATTTATTAAATAATAATTTCTATTATCTTCGATTAGATTTTGATTTTTTTCTAGAGTCAATCTTACTCATATTTATTTGTCAACAATCATAAAACAATGAACTTTAGTTATTGAACTGAAATATGAAAATAAGTATTTATTACGATGATCTATTTATTTTTCAAATATTAATCAACGTCATGAAAGAAAGAAAAAAGTATCATCAGAAGAAAAAACGAGTTAAGTAAGACTAAAAATACCACATCAGGTGTAATCACAGCATTTGAATCAGAATTTCGTTCACTCTTTGAACCACGAAAACAATCGAGAAGTAAACCCATTAGACCAATTTATTATGAATTTGTATAGAGAAAGCCGCCAATTCTTTTTCGTATTGATTGTTATGTTTTACCAATCTATCTATTTAGACACATGACTCTTTTTCCTGTGTCAATGATTTTTCATATGAATCATTTTTTTAATAATGTAAACCTATCATGATAAATATCTGTTTTTTATTATAGATGTACGACATCTATAAAAGACTTAGTAAAAAAAATGCAAGAAAAACAATACAAGTTGTTTTTGTTATTATAGCTAGAGAAGTTTTCTTTTCTTTAAATGCATACCTGAATCGTTCTTACACACAAGAGTGATAGCATAGGTCAATAAAGGTGCTCCGAAAGCAAAATCAGAATAAACATAATTACATTTCTTTGTAAGTATATAATTTCACGAATTCATCGAAAAAAAAAAACATTCTATTTATAGTTCTTTCAACTATAAAACAACAAAACACAATGAAACTGCGTGGCAAGAAATCAAAACTGCTACTGTACAAAGGAAAAAGAAAGTTTATCGTATTCGTTACTTTGTCAATAAACATTATCCTATACATCCAGACAAGCGAACAGAATAAAAGACACTTTTTAAAATACAGAATCATAAAATATGTCAGCAACGAATAGTAGTGAGTTATTTTGTGCATGTCATGATGGTGATATAGCTACTGTTGAACGTTTACTTCCTCTTACCCCTCCTGATGTTTTAAATAGACTAGAACCAAATGGAAGTTCTTGTCTGCATGTTGCTTGTGCTAATGGTCATTTAGAAATTGTTCGTCTTCTATTGGAATATGGATCATCTCGTCGAACAAGAGATAGTAATGGTCATGTTCCTTTAGATCTAGTAAAAAAAAAAGAAATTGCTAAATTGTTTCCTCGTTCAGAAGAAGCAGCAGCACAACGTTATGGTATAAATCCCATGAATCAAGTTGAATGGTTATTAGATCAAGATTATGCTGAATCACTTGCACGTGCTATTGCATGGGGATGTATTAAAGATCGTGGTATTAAAAAAACAGTGAAAAAAATTGAAAAAGCTGGTGTATTAGACTATGATGAATCGAAAGAAAGTAAATTAGTTAAATTTTATTTAAATCAAGCAGTAGAAAAAAATGATCCAAAATTTTTTTTGAAAATTTATACTATTGAGGCACGATTCTTCAGCAACTTTAATCTATATATGGCAGAAGGTAGTAGAAAACAAGTATACGAAAAATTATGTGGTAAATGGAGTGGTTATTATACTGGTGTCATTATGAAAAATCCTGCACTTCAATGTTATTATTATTCTGGAATAACCTATCGTGGTATGCAAATAACTTTAAAAGATCTTGAAAAATACAAAGTTGGTGTTGCCTTAACAAATAAAACATTTCAATCAACATCAAAATTAAGAAAAGTTGCTGAACATTTTGCACATCGGGAAAAACCAAGATTAGAGAGTGTCCGTATTATTATTGTTTATTTGATTGTTGAACAAAAGTCAGGACTTGATATTTCATCGATATCAGAATATCCAGATGAAGAAGAAGTTCTTATGGTTCCAGGTACTTGTTTCAAAGTGGTTCATGTCGATAAAAGTGGATCAGTATGTGAAGCTCAGCTTCGACAATTAGTAGTTACTGATGAATAGTTTTTACATATTTTCATCGTCGAAATATATAATTTATTTTACCATTGAGATTTAAATAACTAAATTAATTTCTAAAAGATAATATTCTTTTTTTTTGCTTTGGAAAACTAAGCTTCAAAGGAAACTAAAATTTATATATAATATACTTTGTTCACTATTTAATTGCTTTTTTTTCCTCTAATAAACAGAAATTTAATATGTTGAGTTCGATGACATTATTTGTCATGAATATTAATCGTTTAGATTTTAATTTATTTAGAGCAAAAAAACTCAAAATTACATCGAACATAATAAATTTCTTCTAAGGGTTTTTAATAATAAAAAAAAAAAAAGATGAAAAAATCAAAACAATAGATGTATTTATTGTGTGTAACCATGTATCCAATCAAGAACTTCTTGATACCAAATAAGTGAATTAAATGGATTGAGTGTCCAATGATTTTCATTTGGTAAATAAAGCATTCGACTTGGAATACCACGTCGTTGTAAAGCTGTAAATGCACCAATTCCTTGTGTATCAGGTACACGATAATCATGACCACCATGAATAATTAACATTGGTCGAGTCCAATTTACAACATGATTAACTGGATTAAATTGTTCAAATGCATCAGGATTTCCATAGGGAGTAAAACCACCAGCATCATGTTCACTAAACCATAATTCTTCAGTTGAATAAGCCATTCCTCTCATATCAAATAAACCATCATGACAAACAAGAGTTTTGAAACGTTGACTCATTTCTGGATGTCCAGCAATCCAATTTATCATAAATCCACCATAACTAGCACCTAATGCAGCAGCTTGATTTCCGTCAATATAAGCATACTTATTTAAAGCTGCTGTAAGTCCCAATTGTAAATCTTCATAAGGTAATGTACCATAATGACCTGTAATACTATCGGTAAATTTTTGACCATATGAGTCAGATCCATGAAAATTAATAGCAATAACAGCATAACCTTGGGATGAGAATGATTGAAAATTCCAACGATAACTCCATGCATCATACCAACTACTTTGAGGACCACCATGTATAAGAAAAGCGAGTGGAGCTTTTTGTGCTGTACCATTCGGTGGTTGTACATGCCAACCTTGTACTGTTTCATTTTGTGAACCTGCAAAATTAAATGTTTCAACTACTGTACTCATTCGTACTTTAGCCAACAGATTATTATTATGATCAGTAACAGGTTTCATTGATGTTTCTGATGTATATAAATAGATGTTAGCTGGTTGAGTAATACTTTCATAAGTAAACACAAATGTTTCATTGTTTGTTGGATGAATATTAACATCATGGGATGAACCAGTGTTAGTAAGACGGATGGGAATCGACATAGGAGATAAGATATTGGATAATTTATAAATGACATTACGTGCTTCTTCACCTATTTCAAAAAACAATGATTGACCATCAAATGACCATGTAACTGCTTGAATACTACGATCCCACTTATCAAGTAGAGTTATTTTCTCATTAGAATCTACAAAAAATATGTAAAAAGAAAAATTGTAAATGAATTTGATTAGAAAAGAGTAAACTAACCATTGTACCATTGGACTTTGAATTGATCTGATTCATAACCAGGAATTGATTGTGATCGGTAGACTAAAATTTGATCATCAATTGGTGAATATGATGGATCAGTATCAGCTGCTGTATTATCACATGTAATACATACTGGTTGTGAATTATTTGTTTTTAAATCAACAGTAAATATATCTAAATTAGTTGACCAAGCAACTTCACTTGTTTCATCATGTTGTCTTGTAAAAGCAAATTTATTTCCACTTGCACTAAATGACCATTGACTTTTAGCATCTCCAAATGGTCTTGTTGGTGAATCACTATCCATACCAAAGAGAACATCAACAGGTGTAGATGTAAAATTAAATATTCCTTTGGCATCTCGTTTAATTGAAACAATAAATGGATGATAACGTCTACCAAGCATATATTCATCCCAATGACGAATAAATAATTTATCAAATCTATATACTAAACTACCACTAGCTTTTTCCATAGCTTGATGATCAGCTGTTTCTTGAATTGTTAAATTAGCATAAACTTGACAACTAAATGCAAGACGTGTTGCTTGACGATTTACTAATAGATTATCAATATCTAATGGATAATTAGTAATTTGAATTGGATCAAGAAAATTTCCCATAGCTGACACATCATCAGGTAAATTAATTTGAAATAATTGATTAAGACCAGATGCTGCTCGATTAGATAGAAAAAGAACTGTTTTGTTATCTATCCAATAGAACTATAATACAAGAAAGAAAAAATATATATGTGATTATATTTCATCTGATGAATAAACTATTAAATAATCTTACTTGCTGATCATTAATACCCCAGATAGGTCGCGTCAATTGAATTGTTTTATTTGTTTCTAAATCAATCCAATGAAGAGTTGTTGAAGATCCATTTAAATCAGGCATATGATATTGTTTTCTAAGATAAATGACCGTCTTTCCATGCATAGGATGGAAGCGAGGAGATGAAAGACGATCCAAGCGAAGATTATCTGTTTGACTAAAATCATGTACTGTTGTCAATTGCTTATAATATTCACTATTTGATAAATAATCACTGCCGTTCCAAGCAGGAGGTCCTGGTGGTCCTGGAGGACTAGGACAATTTGCTTTACGTAGAATAAGAATCAAAGCAGGTATTAATATTACCAGAACGCCCAACAAGAATGCGATAGTGAACCAAAAATACTAAATCAAAATAGAAACAGTTAAGAACTAAAGATAATCAAGAATATCAAACCTTTCTGGCTCTTGCCTTTGATGGATAGCCTTTGCCTTCCTTAGTTATTAGTGTAGTATTGTCTGAACTTGACATAGTGTTGACGATGATCGATGTAAGTATGAAAAGTAACACCAAAAAAGACTATACCTCTGTCTATATATTGTTATACTTTCAAATGATAAGAACGACAAACAAAATGATTCAGTGAAAGATAGTAACACAAAAAAAACGGTGGACTTTAGACAGGCCAAAAAGAAAGCAAGCATGTTGAATAGTTCACACCTCGAAATTCAAGTAAACTTTAATCGTCAATGTCAAATAGATATCCAAAGAAAATTAAGCTCACTTGTACTTTGGATGTATCACAATACAATGTTAATATTCTCGTATATAATTAAATCATTGATCTTTTCTATGATGTTGGTAAGAAGAAAAAAGAAAATATTTGTATCTTGAACAACGATGATCTAATATATGTGAGAGACATTCTAAAAGCTTATTATCCGAAAACAATAAATTGTAAGAGAGATATAAGTATCAGTAGAGCAACATAATGACTTGTTTTTAGACCTTAATATCAAATAGTTTAAAACTTAAGTTTCTCGCTCTATATATGCTAATGAGCATTCTATATTTTAAATTTGTTAGTTTAAGAATGAGATATGTTCGCGTTGCAATATTATTTCAATGAGAGAAAAAAGTCATGAGTCAAGCTAATCTCTGAATAATATGTCTAGTTTTAGCTATAATTTCAGCACTACATACTTAACCATGAATCACTACAACTTGGATTATTGATCAATGGATTTAAGAATAATATATCGCATTTGTCAACATTTAATATATTGCATATATCTGTCATTATTGGAAAACATTTTGATAATCAAACTAATGTATTCTATTCTCCAATCATCGTATTTTTTTTCGTGTCACGATAACTGGTCGAAATTCGTAAGTTAACCGTACTGGGTATACATAAGTTATGAACGCACTGGAGCAGTCTATACTAATTTCATAGACTGTTCTGACTTCATTCAGGATTTTGATTATTCAGTATAGACAGTGTTACAAAATTATTCATTCATGAAAAGATCAAGTCAATAGAAATAAGTGCAGTATCATCTAACAAAACAGATGTAACCTATGAAAACTGTCTTTTTTGGTATGAAATCGATATTTTCATCATGAATGAAATCAAGCTATTAAAAAAAATACTCAAAAATTGGTATATATAGAATAAACCATCGATTTTGTCAAAATAAAAATGATACCGGTCATAGACTAGTGTGTTATTTATTAGAAAACGTAAAAACTAATTTATTTAATCTATCACCATGTGAGGTTTAGTCTTCGAAATGTAATGAAACTTGTGAAGCCGTGATCTTTGAAAAGAGAATATCAGAAAAAGAGTTTTCATGTTTGTTAATATTAATACAGCTTAATTAGTTCTACTAAGAGATCCTTTGATAACTTATTTTTCGTCAAAGTCAAAGTTTCATAAAAAATCTTCTCAAGGTCTACTTACTTTCTTATAGTTATATGTTTGAGTTTAACAGAATGTTGATTTTGACATTCGGACTAACTAGAACAAAATGAGAATTGATTTCATTTGGAAACTTCACATTGATCTTTGAATGATCTTCAAATGAAGCAACTTTTCATCAATTTTTTTCAGTTCACTTTGTACCTCCTGTTGTTGTTTTATTTAATTATTTCATCTACTTTTCATCCTCTTAGTTTGTGTACCAATATTGGGCAGAATATTTTTATTTTTTTTTATTTCATCATCATTAATTATTTCAACTTTCCCTTTTTTTTAGCAATCTTAAATGTCAGCAAATAAACTCAGTCACTCTATCTCTATCACATTAGTCATGTAAACTAATTTTTAATTTTCATGTTTCATTTTATTTCCTTAAACAAATAATAATTCGAATTTTTCAACTATCTTATTTGTTTTAATTATCTACATCAGGAAATTTAAAAAAAATTTCGATAGGAAGAAAAATTATTTATAAAAAATTAATCTTGTTCAGCTTTAGATTTATCGAATATCGTTAATAAAACATCTTCAACTTTGTACACTTTTAACGATATTCGTTGACGAGACGTCAATTTCAATAGCTTTATACGATAATATAATATTACTTTTTCTGATTTGCGTATCTCCAATATCATATACTGACATCATTAATAATCAACTAACTTGTCCGGATCTTGATGAGTTTTCTTACTAATAATCTCCAATGAAACACCCGAATTCTGATTATTTCAAGAGAATAGAAAATGATATAGCCCTGTTTTTTTAACTATTTAATACATTAATTGCTCGATTATTACAACATTGGCTTCAGTACTCTCGTGAATAATCAAAAGCCTACAAGTGAAAATCATAAGTGAATATGGTATGGCAACGCTAATAACCAATCCACTATTGGCATACATTTAAACTTGATGACTTTGATTAAATCTCACTTTTACCTCTTTTTTTCTATTTGAAACGGTAAGAATAAATCTGAAACGAGGAGGAATGTTACGATCGATGAAAAAAATTTATTATTGTAAAAGTAATCGAAGTGCTGAAAGTCTCGTAGAATATTTATTTCGGCTTTAGACTGAATTATGTTGTTGACTATCAGATACACAATAAGAAGACAAGATCAGATTTTAGTATAGAGTGGTTGATCACTTAAATAGTTGTGCTTAGCTCAGTAACACTAGTTTCAATCATGTTCCTTAAATAAAGTGTAAAGAGTCTATGGGAAGGCAATATAATCTGTTGACTTTCAATCAATTGATAAATTAGTATACTGTGTCTCTTGTTGACTCTCGAGATGTTATCAATAAGAACTCGTCAACATTAGCGATTCATTATTAAAGTTTTGTTCATTTGCTCGGCATTTTAAAATAGCTTACAAATCTCAGTTTCTGCGGCTCCCTTTTCAAAGCGATATGATTATGACATTTTGCGCTAAATAATTACATGCTTGCTTCTGGCACAAAAGGCACTTTAATTCATCAAGACTTTAATTGAAACGACTGTTAGATGTGAGCTATACTTCGCATTCAAACAGTGTGCTATGAGACGAGAATCTTTGTCTTAACGTTGTATCTGTGTGTTAAGACGAGAAATTTTGTACACTCAACTAGATATTTAATGATTCGTTCAGATAATAATTTTCTTCATCTGTACGTTGGATGTTGGACTCAGATAATCTGCATTTTTATTTTCATCCACCATTAAGCTTTCAGGTCATTCAAGTCAATTCATTTCAAATCGTCCACTTTATGGATGTATTCAATAGCTAGCGTATCTGACTCTTTGTTTCAGCGATCAAGTCCGATATCTATAGATTTAAGAACTTTTCGTAAATTCAGTTTATCGAGTTGAAGACTTCAACTCACAATACATAGATATACTGAATAATTGGGATAATGTCACAATTACTCTACCGAATATTATGATATTTCTTGGAAAAAAACAAACAATCGAAATGGAAGCAAATAATATCTTGAAAATTATACATTTCATCACTGAACTACAAACAATCAACAGATGTTACTTTTACATTGTTGAGTTCTATTCTATTTTTTTTACTCATTCTATTGTTTGTCCTTTTCTCATCATCTATACAAATGTGTTCTTGATAATATGGTCATTGTTAATAGAAAATCTTTAATTTAAACTGTCTCTCAACAAATAAAAAGACCTAAGATTAATGTTTCAGGTGATTTCTACTTCATTTATGTAATTGCTGTGCTTTCTACAATAAACGATATCAACTGTATTGTTAGAAGTTATCAAAATTAGTAGTTCTTTCAATGACGATGACGTAGATGTGACTCATAGCATCATATTATTTTTAATTATAAGAGTGCATTCAAACAAATGTGTCATAAAAACAGTAAACATTTTACATAACACGTGCGAAACAAACTGATGCAATAGAGTCCTTGATAGTAGAATATGATGAAAGAGAACAAAGACGTCATTATAAAGCCGTAGATACTTGCGTAGTTAACATTAAAAAGTATACAATCGATTTAGTTGTTCTAACTTTGTCTTTGTAACAACATATTTTTATAGTTTTCTTGAAAAAAAATGAATACAACCGATCAACAACACTTTTTGGCCGGTAAACGTATCATTATTGCAGGTGGTGGGATCGGTGGATTAACTTTTTGCATTGCCCTACAACATTTTCTTGATAATGCAACAAAAAAAATCGAACCACCACCAACTATTATTGTTTATGAACGTGATACATCAGTTGATGCTGTTGGACGAGAAGGCTATTCACTTTCAATTCGTGGAGATGCACTTAGTGGAGGAATGCAAACACTTCAAAAACTTGGCATTCTTGATGAAATGATCATGGAAAGTAATCCCGGTACATATTTTACACTTTTCAACACTGATTTTTCTTCATTAATGCAAATTAGATCACCACCTGTTGAAGGTTTATCTCAATCGAGTATGCGCATTGCACGTTCCAAATTGCGTGAAATTCTTATTAAAAACGTACCTTCGTCAATTATCATTAATCGGAATTGTGCTATTAAATCTGCCCATGAGCTTGACGATGGGCAAATCTTAATTGATTTAGCTGATGGCACTCAAGAACAATGTCATTTATTAATAGCTGCTGATGGTTCGAACAGTATTATTCGAAAAGCACTTCGACCAGAACATGTACTAAATTTTGCTGGTGCTGTTATCATTGCAGCACGTACTCGAGCTTTAGATAAATTACCATCTCCTATAGACAAAACATGGGGAGGTGTGCTCGGTGGTAATGGACATTTTCTTTTTGTTGCGCCTTCAGATCGAACAAGTGCTCTTTGGAGCGTCAGTTATTTGTCTGATACACCTCGTGAATCAAAAGCTGCTGGAACAATAACTGATGATGAAATTGATGAAATTTTAACTGAAGCTAAAGAACGCACAAAAGTCTATGGTGAACCAATGCCTACATTATTCAAAGAGACATTACGTAGCAGTGTCGCTGTTTTCAATGCCAAAGATATGATACCTTTTCGAAATCACGGTTCGGTCATTTTCATTGGTGATGCACAACACGCCATGAGTCCATTTGCTGGTAATGGAGCGAATATGGCTATTATGGATGGTTATCAACTTGCAGATCAATTAGTTCATGCCAAAGACTTAAATACAGCAATAAAATCTTATGATGATTTAAGTATTCCAAGATCAACAAGAGCTATCAATATGAGTCATCGAAGTATTACAATAGGTCATTCGCAAGGCTTCTGGAAATATATTTGGGTAACAGTACTCAAACTTATGACATGGTACTTCAGTCTTAATTATCAACACGATTAATTATCAAATTGATTATCATTTAAGTTTTTGTAGAATTAATTTTGTATTGATACTGATGGTTACTTTTTTCTCTAGTTTGAATAGACAAAAGTAAAATAATTGAATCATTTTGCAGTAATATAAAATTTGAAAATTGATATTTTAATTCTGTCCAGGTTTTAGAAACATTCAAGTTTCTATGATTAAAGATACAATAAAGATAAATAAAATAATACTGATAATTGTTGATATCATACACATGAGTTGTATGAAGTGCCTAACAAAATGTTATGCAACATTTTGCTAACTGAGTACCTATAGAAACTTTAAATTTATAGGAGTTTCATGCAAAATAGAATTGCACTTCTTAAATTGATTATGAAACTCAAATGAAAGAACGAAACTTAATATGACATGGAACAAAACTATTAATACTCAATGCAATTGTTGTCATTGTTTTTGTACTGTTTTCTATACGTTCAATCTATTCGAGAAATAAGTAAATCGACACTTTTTATTCTCTGATGTCACTTTAATGACAAGTTTATTCAACAAATCATTCATACAAGAACTCAATTAAACAAGTCGCTGAGAAGTCGTTTATAAACACTTAAAAGATGTTCGAGATTATTATACAAAAGAACACGCAAATCAGAAGCCAGCTCAGTGAAAAATTATTAATTCTTCCAATGGTGATCAATAAGGAAATACCATTCGAGCTCGACTGATCCATGCTAATCAAATACACAATACAACATATACATTTTCAACATTTGAAAAATTCAACCCTTCGATGTTACTTTTGATCGAATTAAATCACGACAAACATTCATCATTAAATCCTCATCATTATCAGAACATTAAAAAAGATATTTTCGTTATTTATTCGAACTATTATTTCTGTTCTTTTTATATTCTAGGTGCACTCTATTTAGCATTTGATTTTTCTATTTTAGGATAAAATGCAGGTCATATAAAATAATTTTGAAATCGATCGACGATAAATTGTATACTGTAAAATTAAAAAATAGGTCATAGAGAATCGAAAGTTCTAAACGTATTTATCTTTTATAATTTTCTATCATAGACAGTAGTCCATTTTATTCGTCTGAGATTTAGTTGAGTTTCAACTTGAGAGATCTTTACAATCGAGAGAAAAAATGTTACGCATATATTACAAAAAAGCAAACTATTTGTACGTACTAAGAAGCTGATATATGGATGAAACAGAAAAGTTCTACAGCGATAACAGCTCAATGTAAGATGAAAATGAAAAAACTCTAGCATATCCTAGTTGCTTAGCGAATTTTTGAGGAGTATAAGTCTCTTCATTGCAAAGCAAAAGAAATCTGGTGATAACAGACAGAATTTCACATGTTTCACGAATCGAATTCATAATTAAATTTCAAGACCTCGTTCAAAATGTTGATTAAATGAATTTTCACTTTATTCAGTTGTTTTCAGTTTTTATAATTTTTCTTTCGAAATATCAACAAAACCTGTGTAAACCAATACCTACTTTACTATCAACTAATGAAAATTGAATCAGACTATATTAAATAGTTGCAAATTCTGTGTGAATTATTGAGTACATACCACATATTTGACAGTCGATACTGTGTTAATGATCAATATCAATATGGTGCGACCTTTACATAATATTTAGTAAACCTCGTCTTCTCATATACTAATTACATGATAGATAAGATTTTATCTTGTTGGAATCTATCTTATGAACGCAATTGACGCGCTCTATTCAAAAGTGAAGTAGTCAGCGTATTCAACTGAGAATTTGTGAAAAAAAAATATCACTTTGCGTACTCCTATTGCATGAAGTATTACATATTTAAGAAGAGAGACATTCAGCTGCTCTGAAACTGCACACTTAAAATTGAAATTTCTATCTTATTTATGAGATTTGATTAAGACGCTTTATTGTTGACTCATCATTTCACAATAAAGTCTACTAATGCATGAATAGAATCGTTTTCATGAATTTTAGGATTATGAATAAGCTTCAAAAGCCACAAAAGTTAGACAGGTCAATTTTAGGGCAGCTTTAAAGGATCTTTTGAATTATCTTTCAAATAGTTTGTGTATCTGAGTATTTAAGGAACTAAAATCGGTGTGACGAAATATTTGGAAAATTCATGATGATGAAAACTTAGTACTACAAAGATTTCAAGTATTTATTGGTGAATTTATATAGTAGTCATTGAACTTAGCAACAGTGAGAGACAAAACTCTTTAAGTCTTTTCCTTCCTCCATTATTGTTAAAATGGCTACAACAATCATATTTTTGCAGAGATGATTATGATTATTCTTTTTACAGGCTTTATTTGATTTGTATTACAAAAGACGAATCCATGGAATGAATAATAATCGTATTATATCAAATAAAACAAAAGAAAAGAAAAAGTGAGTTATTATAAACTCATTTTCATACAAAAAAGAAATTGAAAAACGTGCTTAGACATATTATTCCATAATAGTACATCCAAATACATCATCAGGTCTACGAAAACACGGCTATCGTATTTCGATCAATAGCATCACTTGGCCGAATTAAGTTCGTTGAGAAAGGTCTTATAAACATAATTGTTGCAACTACTTGTAGCATTGGAAGTTCATAAAAAAAAAGTTTTGCTTTTGAAATTATACATTTTTGAATTGAAATGTGAATATAAAACGAGAGTATGAAACAGAAAACGATTTGAACACGTACAAAAATACTTCCACTAGACTACAGTGGCGAGAAAAAGACTGAACAAAAGAAAGGCACAGTATAATAGTAAATAGCGACAACAATCAGATGATAAAATAAAACGTCAATACAATCATAAGAAAGACATTCAAATTAGAAATATACTTACTGCACAAGAGGCTGCTGTTGAGCAATTTCGAACATAATATGTATTCAGATTATATATTCTAACTTTTTTGAAACCAAAATACTGCAGATCACTATATCCATTTTCAAAACAGAGGCATTTAAAAAATAGCTCTAGTCTTGATATTGAAAACAATTTGTTTTTTTGTTTCATGTCTCCAAGACTCATGCACGTAATTATACGCAAAAAATAAAATCCTCAAGTGAATCACTATTATCTATCTATACGTATTTTTTCCAAAGTCATGGAAGAATTCACAAGTGAATTTATCGTTCGTATTCTTTCTTCAATAAAACAAACAATACTTGACTAGTTTTAACCGACTTATAACAGCACGACAAGTGTCAAAAGAGAAGTTCAATACTATTTAAAATATATTGAATTCGCAAGCTCATATTTTTGATCGCCTTCACTATCCTGTTTCTTTAATTAGGAGAAAAGGGAACAGTTTAAAGTAACACGGCATTCTTGAAAACCTATCTCTGTACTTGTTTTTCATTAAAAACTCCATTATTGATTTAGATAAATTAATTTTGTTTTACATGAATTTTAGAGAATAAAAATTATTAAGAGCAAGTCTTTAATGCATGGTCATATCTACTAAGATAAATCGTCAGTTAGATCATTTGTTCTTTCGTATGTATTCTCACGTAATGATTCATTCGTTTGGAAGAAAAAAAAATATCGAGCGTATGTCTTTGTGTAGAAGGAAGAGGAGATCTTTTTCATGATATATATATATAGTGTGCCATTTTTTTTCTTTTTTCCTTGATATTTGGAACAATACCAGTGCTACGCTAATCCAAAGAGTAATGAAAGCGTTATTAACAGTAAGAGACTTAGACATCGAAGATGAAGTGACATTTTAGAGTTTTCTCATGTTTTTTATGTTATATAAGGTCACGAGTTTTGTAATTCCTGAAAATGACAACTTAATAACATCAATTTTTCTAATGACATTATTCAAATACTGATCATATCTTTAATGATAATTATTTTCTGATTTTTTAAACACTTTTTAAGAATTTTCTTCGAAAAAACAACTTTTCTTTTCTGAAATAAGGCAATTTTTACTTAAGACTTTTGAAATAACAATTCTTTGGTGAACAAGACTATTACTACATACAAAATTTCAGAAATTTTATTCATTTAACTAAATAATAGATAACTCAAAATATGAGGAAGACTTGATTTCTTACATATTATTCGATACATCGTAACTTGGTGTACGAAATCACATCTATATTTCTCTGGCTTGATATAATTTACCAAATCTAGTAGTGTCATTTTGTATGTAGCAGTAATTATCATTTCAAAAGTCTATATTCAAAACTGTCTCACTGAGAGAAAGAAACGTTACTGTTTTTTGAAGAAAATTCAAAACAAAAAGATTAAATTAAACAATAATTATCATAAAAGATGTCATCAGTATTTTGAATAATGGCATTGGAAAAAGTGATTTTATCGAGTTATAATTTTTGGGATTATTCAGCTCGTCATGCTTCATAACATTTTAAAACAACGGAAAATTCTAAGATCTCATCCAATAATCAATGTAGTATAGTGTCTTGTTTTCTCCGAGACCAACTGTTAATAACCTTCTGAATGACTGAGGCTTTTAACCAAGATCCCATATAAAAAGAAGCTTTACAAAAATCACAAAAAAGATCGATTTTTCATCAATGAAAATAAAAAAACAATCAAAACTATCAAAATGTTATCGGTTACTCTGATTATTTTTAAACTAAAATCGATTTGAAATCGAGCGAAAAGTTATTTTCAATCAGTTTTGTATGATTAAAAGCGGTAGAATTTCAATCTAGTTTTTCAATTTTACATTGATTATAGTCAATTTCTTCATGATTATTAAACTGATTGTAATAAAAAATAATCAGAATAATCGATGAAGTATCGATATTTTTCGATTGTATTGAATTTAAAATCGATTTTCTCCATCGTTTGTTTCTACAGGGACTTTATCTAACAAAACAGGAGATCTACTTTATAATAATGGATTATGTGTATAATTATGTGCACTGGCCTTGGTGACCCAGAATGAGAATCAAATGTGAATATCTTTCTCTATTCGTGAAATAATGACGCTTAACTTTTTATTCTACGTTGAAAAA